GAAGAAGTCTGCCACTCCTCTGGAGAAACAACTACAGCTTGGGGGGGGAATCACACACACATCAAGCAAGTCACTATGCCTATATAATTGTAGTTTACATATATCTATACTCAATTGATAAGACATGCTGGAAACGGAACAAAACTTTGAGCTTCTCAAAGCATCTGCAAATTTTGCAAGAACGGGATTTCAGAACTACATAGGACACCACAATTTAACAAGAGCTCACTGGCATAATGGTTATGTGTGAACAGTTTTCTACAATATTTCATTTCTACTTTATAAAACATCCTGTCTTTTTCTGTCTGAATAACATGGCACACTAATATGGTGTAGTGGTTAAGTGTGCAGACTCTAATCTGGGAGAACCGGGTTTGATTCCCCACTCCTCCACTTGCACCTGCTGATGTGACCTTGGGTCAGTCGCAAGCTCTGGCACAGCTGTCCTTGAAAAAGAGCAGTTTGTGTCAGAGTTCTCTCAGCCCCACCCACCTCACAGGGTGTCTGTTGTGGGGAGGGGAAGGGAGAGGAGTTTGTAAGCCGCTCTGAGACACCTTTGGGTAGTGAAGGGCGGGGTATAAATTCTTCTTCTTCTTAAGATAAAGTAATCATTTGGTCTTAAGCTAATGCTTTGGAATGAAGATAGCTAACCCTACTAAACAGACCTATTCTGATAATTGGCTGGAAATGCCAAGAAAATGAGCTTCCAAGAAATGAACAACACTAGAATCTTGTCATAACCAACCAGTCTTATATAAAACAGAGATTCTATTCTTACACTAATGATTTTCTGCAGCCTATTAAAATAGTTTGTGGGATGAAGTGAGTCTATGGGATAAAGATAGTAGAGATAACTAAGTATGGTAATGGAAAGCGGTTTGACCACTGTCCACACTTGAACACAAGTTTGGTGACTGCAATCACTTGGTGATCAGAGCTAAATTATTACTTTATCTAATGCAAACACAATTACATATTGCACAACATCAATCAAGAGGCCTCTTTAAGGATCCAGTCTGAAAGGGGCAGTTTTCCTTAAGAATAGGATAATTTTTAATGTCAGCTTTAAAATCCTATCAAATTCATCTCAACTGGACATTGCCTCCTTCTGCTTCTGATAATTCTTAATATTAGAAGGAAATACTTGTAACCATTGCCATTCCAGTGAAAATTTGGACTAAGTTTGGTTAAAACATGGAGAAAAAACCCAGAGCAAGTCTCTTTTTCACTATATCTGATACATGAGGAAGATGGAGCTTGCACATCTGACCTGCATACAGTTTAAGAATCAAAAGCCTTTGTTGTCAGCCTCACTCACTAACTGGGAAAACTTTTTTCGCATACTTCAACTGCCCTTCTGTATCTCAGTTTCAAAGCAGCTTGGCAAATTAACTACTCAGTTTTGCTGAATACAGGAGGCAAATTTCTCTTTCAATTGTTTATGAAGTTAAGACTAAAATGTGATGTGTATACATGTGGGCTACCATCTGTATTGCAGCAGTATGAACCTGCTCGTTCACTCAGCCTATGGAGATTCTGTTTGTGAAGAGAATGTTTCATGGATGGTTTTCCAAGTACAAAACAATGCCTCAGTGTATATGTGTTAGTCTTCATTTCGATCTAAAGTAATGATTACAGATCTTCTGATCACGAGGCATTGGAACTGTCTGGAATTACCAAACACAACATTTTAACTGTGAACAAAAATATGTTTTTAGCTTGAAATTCAGAAATACAGGTGTTAAAAAGAAAAATTCAGTTGCTTCAAAAGAAAATCCGTAACAATAAAGAAGCAGTGCTTTATGGCATCTAAAACCATGCAGAAATACTAATTTAAAAGGAATGTTACAATATGGTATTGGTGTTGTTATAATAAGTGTGCTTCAAAAATGTGTTGTTCAGGGGACAGCAAGGGGTTTCATTAGCAGGTCAACTGGTTGTCTAAAGTAGTGTATACACATGTAAAAACTATTTGGCTTATGTTAGACAAAAGACTGGGTTGGCTCTTGTTTTTATAGGGCATTTATATTAGTATTTATAATACATATTCTATGCATATGCAGTGTTCACTATTGTAACCCTGCTTTTTAGTAAATATTATTCCTTTACAGATGTTTCCCAAGAATTCTGATTGCAACAAGCAGTCAAAAGCAAAAGCCCATAATGTTGTAAATTAAAAAACAATAACGCAGCTGCTATGATGTTGACCAGAACGGGTGCGCAAAAGATCCTCAACAGTTCCATGTTGAAGATTGGCATGATAAAACATCTTTTCTTCTTCCTTCTCCTGTCTTGCCATCCCATTAAGAAAACTTATTTCAAAAATATTTTCCAGATAACTGTGTTACACTTTTTAAAAGTCAGTTGCAAAAGCAGAAAGTAACGTTATTTTCATTAATTGGCACAGCACTAGCTTCTCACAGTTCCAGAATGAGCCATAAATACAGCACATCACATAACTTAATAGATTCATTCTTAAGCTCTTCCGCATTTTCTCCCCACCCCTAAATATTTTACTTTGAAAAATGTATTGATTATGCAGACTTTTTTTTTGAAAGCAGAAAGATTAAAAAAGTGAAAGGGGGTGCAGAAATTAGCAGAGGTGGCACTACCTGAAAGCTCATCAGAAAGGGGAGTGAGAACAATATCAGGCAAGAAGGGTTTGGAAGTATGGATCAGAACAGGAGCACTTTTAGCACTGCGAATATAGGCCGATGGCAGAGCACATTCACCAATGGATCGGCTTCTCATGGCTTTAAAAAAAGGAAAAGAAAGAAGTGGGGAAGGAAAAAAAGAAGAGTGACTATAATGAAAGGCTTGTGTCACAGAAAAAGCAGCAACAGAGAAAACAAAGATAAAAAGGAAGAAAATTTAAATTAAAACATTTCAGCACAGCAGATATTGGCAGAGCTGTAAGGAAAAAATAATCAGTGGCCACAACAAACATTTTTTAAAAAAACTCTTTAATGTAAGATAGCAATAAAGCCTATATTTGCACAATTACAATTGTTTGGTATTCAAGGGAAAAAGTTAAGATCTATTATTTTTTCACTGCATCAGGGGTTGAAAAAAAAAAGGTCAGCAAGTTGAAAGCCATTCCATGGACACTCAAAATGTGCAAAATTCTACTCTGATAAGGCATATGCCTTTACCTTGCACTTTTTAAAAAAACAATTGTCTTTTAGATCAGATCTCATGAGCTTCTTGGCAAATACTCAGCAAGAAAAATAATTTAATTCATGCAGAAGCTTGTCAGTTTTAGTGGGTATTCAGACATTACAGCATTTGATGTGCTTCAACTGTCCTTGGGGTCACAATTGCACTAAGAATGTACTGTATGACCTGAATTGTCCACACATACAGCTACAATTCCATGGTGGCTATTTTTGTAATCATAGTGCTGCCAGTTTGATCATGGAATTGGTTTACAGTAGCTGCTGGTCTGTCTGGATTAGCTGTAGGACTATTCTCTAACACAAGATGAAAACAGAATTGACTTTCTGTCAGGGTAATGTGGTAACACATGACTTTCCTGGATTTAAATTATTGTTTTGGGTTTCCCCCCTAAATATCTATTTAAGCAAGGGGATGTATCCAAGAGTTCAATTTGTCAAGCTGTGAAACTTTCCTCCAATGGAAGGAGTCTTGCTCTAGAGGAAGAGGTATCTTCCACCAGCAGAATGTTCCTTGTACTGGAAGAATATTCCACCATCAGGAAAATGGAACTTTTGGATCTAACCTGAAATCTTGGTAAGATCAAAACACTACAAGACTGTAGCTCCAATACTTTCCTGGGAATAACCCCACTGGGAAAAAAAGACTTAATTCTGAGTAGACCTGCTAAAGATTGCTCTCTCTATATTAACAGTGTTGAGTACTCCTACACAGGAAAGAGCCAGTGTGGTGTAGTCGCCAGTGTTCATCTACGAGACCCAGGTTTGAGTCCACAACTCTTGTCATGGAAGCCAGATGGAAGACTTTGGGTCAGTCACACACTTTCAGCCTCACCTACCTCACAGAGTTGTTGTGAGGATAAAATAAAGGAGAGGAAAACGATGTAAGCCACTTTGGGTTTTTCATTGGGGAGAAAGGCAGCGTTATCAGTGAAGTAAATAAATAAAATAAATACTCCTAGTTATATCACCATTTAATAATCTAAACTCAGATTGCATTATTAACTAAGTGTCAGAGACACACCCAACCTAGCTTGAATCCAATTTAAGGTATCAAATTAGGACAGCGATTACATTGACATCTGATACAATACAAAACAGAGCTCTTTGTAAAAGCTCATACACGTTCTACAGAAACAGAGATTTTCATTTTAAACAGCAATTATAATTTGCTGCAGGCTCATCAGTGTTCCCTGCATTAAAAGCCACGGCGAATCAGGCCTCTTTGGCACATGTGATTTCCAACAATATGAGCTTTTTTGTGGAGGAGAATACTAAGTGTAACACTAGTTCTGATTTTGAAGTATAGCAATCAGGAAATGATGTTTAAAAAGTCACATTGCACAAACAAAAGATCTTCCACTTATCCCTTAGACAGGCTGGTGATATGCTTTAGTAATTTATGAGACATTATTTTCTGGAAATTTCAGCATTTTTCTTTCCATTATCCTGGAAACTCATGCCCTCTCAGTGTATTTATTTTTTATTAATTCTGGTTATGAACTGCAGAGCAAGGGTGTAGACTTTCCAATTTCCCGGGGGGGGGCTGGGGCTGGGCCAGAGGCATTGCTGTGCTAGGAGCAAGGGTGGCTCCCGGGGGAGGCTGAGCACTTTCCTGAAAATTTCGGCGGGGGCTGAAGCCCCGCCGCCCCCACGAAGATTACGCCTATGCTGCAGAGTCAATAACAGAAAACTAGGGATATTAGTAAAATAGCAACAAACAAAGATTTTTTGCAAACAGATGTGTGTTGAGCAAGAAACTACTGAATGACCAAATTAAATTTGATAAATACTGGCATGTTTTTTGTTCACACATCTGCCTCATTCACATGTAAAGTGAAGCAGTTAACATCAAAAGAAGGGGACAGGTGAGGAGAGCTGAACTCTCTCTCTTTACCTCCAAGCAAGATATGCCCCCAAGCATATTTTTCCTGTCAGGTCCATTTCCAGGACTGGAGACAGACTGAGAAGGAAAAAAAGGGAACCTGGGCTGGCGGACAAATCAAATCAAATACACAGAGTACAGTTTCATACTGGTCTAACTCTGTATAAGTGAAGGTGCAAGTGGAGGTAAGGCAGGGGTAAGGAGTTAATGCATCTATATCTAAATTTATATGTGAAGGAGGAAGTGGTGTGACCAACAATTATGGCTGCACTCCTACTTCTAGTTTGGCCTTAAGCTATCCTGTTAATGCCTGGGTAAAGAGGGGGAAATGCATTTTATGAAAATATGGAGTGATTACAATAAACATAGTGGGAGATAAATCATTCCATTTTAGACTTTTTGCAGAAAAAGAGTTACAGATAAAAAATATAAATCCCTTAAATGTTTCAAGTTTTCTAAATGTATGCAGTTATTCTGTGAGACTAAATTGTTCAAGTGACGAAATAAAACTGGATGGCATCCTACACTAGGATGACTGATCACCTGAATGCTTTGAAAACAAAGGAAATAATCTGTCTAAATATTTTTACAGCAGGGCCAATTCATCCAGCCACTGGGCATGTGATAGCTGTAGGAGAACTTTTTCAAAATCCAGACCATGCCATCTTCCAGCCAGTAGCAAGTTTGCCACATGTATCTGCTACTAATCTTGAGGTGAACTTTTATATACACTGACAAATGTTTGCAAAGTAGCTAATTGTTGTAGCATGCCCAAAACTGAACCCTGCTTGTAGTAGGAGATACATACAATAGCCGTGAGGAAGCATACACAGGATTTTTTAGAGTTCTCCCCCACCACAGATTATCACACACACACAATGCACCAAATCTAATCTACCTGGTATGTTTTTCAGAACTTCCTCTTTCTACATGGAGAATTTTGAAAACGGTTTTGCAAGATTCAAATGGGACTAGTATCGGAGCTGCATAATAAAGAGTTTTTTTGGTCTTCAATCCACAGCAGGTATTGCAAACATTTGCAAATTAATGTTCATTCCAACATGCCAAGCGATCACCTCTATTCTCTGGTGTTCAAAGGATTGAACTATACTGGCCACTTCCACACTGTCATTTTTGTCACTCGTTTGTCCCTATTGCTTCAGGGGTCTTTTCTCCCCATGTGTTTTGCTTTCTCTAGTAGTCTCAGAGAGAGCAAAACACATTTGGAAAGGGGGGGGGCAAAGCAATAGGGAAAAACAACTGACAGTGCGGAAGTGGCGACTGTCTCAACATGTAAGACCAACATCTTGTACTTTATTATAACAATTATGCCTGAAGAACATGTTCAAAGGGCTTGAAAGCTTACAAATTTTAAACAGTACAATCCGATGAAATATAATTATAACCAATTATTTATATCCCATTCTGTGTGACCAACCCAGTTATATCTTGATGACAGAACAAGCATGGAAACATAGTTCAATGACTGCTCCTCCTCCTGAAACTTGTTCTAAATAACTGAACTGAAAGTTTGATGCTTGTTCTTAGGTTCACATAATGAAACTGGAGGCCATGAAAATTCACAGAATCAGCAATTAAGTAACAATGCACCCAAAGCTTTCTCCAATCACAGGTATCATCTAATAGTAAAATTGCATGTACATCAGTAAGTCTATACAACTTAATTAGCATTTAAGTTTTAACTGTATGATAAATGCTGTAATTAAGCTTAGCTTCACAAGTGCTAATGACTTGAAGAAGCAATGTATAAGCACAAGGGCAAAATCTTTCATGGATTTTATTCTTCTTTGGAGGAAAATAATGTGAATTAATACCTTATTATTCCTATTTTCCAGATCAGGGGAATATTTTAAGATAAATTCTCACCAGGTAAGACTACACAGAATATTTCAAAAATATTTTCTACTTTTCCTTTAATAGATCTAAATAAAATGAACCTTTGGGATTATCATCTTCTAAATAATTTTTCATCATTTCTGTTAAATCAAGCAATGCCAGAACAACTACATGGAATACTTACAGGAGGGCTCAGAAACTTATTTTTGCCTTAGCTAGGGAAATCAATTTAGTAAAGATTTTTCAACCCATATGCATACCAAGTTATGAGGCAATAAAAAAAAACTTTCATAAAATCAGACTTGATTACATAAGCTCCATGCAGCAGAAGATGAAAAACACAGTTCTAAGCCACGCCACACACACACAAACACACAGACTTAAGTGTGCAACTTGTGATTGGATATGAGATGATGCTCACCAAGTTTCCACAAATATTGATGAGACAGCTTCCCTTACCCCAAAATAATCAAACTATGCTCTGTTGTTTCTACACACATGTTCAAACCCAACCAGAAAGCAGAATATAAATTGATGGTTGCAAACAGCTTTGGTCAGCTTTAGATAGAGAACTAGTTTAGAAATTTAAAAATCTACATTTTTAAATACTATGTCTGAATCCAGAAACCACACGCTGAGTTTTGCTCAGGCACCAAAACTTTGTTTCAGCCTTTGCCCTCTACAGTCTTTTGAGTAATCTTGAAGGTTTAGAACAGCAAACACAGGAACTTGTAGTTTACAGCAAAAAAATCCTCCATTCTCTCTCTCTCTCTCTCACTCACTCACACACACAACTGATTCCAAAATTTTCATCTGTTAGTGCCAATAACAAACATTG